GAGAAGAATAGGAAAAATATTGCTATATCTAAGTAAAAAGATTAAAATAGTAAGTTTACTTTTAAATGAAAACACTTTGAGAAGATTTCATCTTTAAAATATAAGTTTTATAGTCTATTTATTTTGTTAAAGATATTCGTTTAAGAAACAAATACGTCATTATTATTGTTTCTAACTGTTATAAGATTTTAATTTACGGAAAAGGTACCCCTGCTTGACACATAATAACATCAATAATATATATATATATATATATATATATATATATATATATATATATATATATATATATATATATATATATATATATATATATATATATATATATATAGGGGAAGTGGGGGCATAACCGCATATATAGGCACAACCGTTTTTTAACATTTCTCTTTGAAAAATATTATCTAATCTGGCAAAAAAACACATTAGTAAAACAGTTTTCTTCATTTTTCTTATGTCAAAAAGAGTGCCAGCTATGTTTTTGAGAAGTTGTGCATAATAATGTATATTTTGATAAAAATATTATATTTACATCATATTTTTAAAGACCTTTTTTTTGAGGATAAAGCAATATTTGATTTTAGTGTTAAAGATATGTGTTATCAGCGTTATTTCATCAAGTAAAAACCATTTTTGATATCAACATAACCTAATAAGCAAGCTATGAACTGAATTCTTTCTAAAAACTGTCCACTGGGGCACCGCATAGACGCACAGGAGGCACAACCGCATACTTTTATTATTTATCAAAGTTATGTAATTACAAATAACAACAATTACAATCGTCACATTTGAATGCGTTCATGTATAAACTTGAAAAGTTTTGCTTTGAGATGATAGAAAAGTTGTTTAAGATGTTAGAAAAGCTTTGTTTTGACAAAAAGATGTTAGAAAAAATTTTTTGTTAGAAACGTTTTGTACTTTGTACATAAGTTTTGTACTTTTGTTCTTTGTACTTTGTACATACTTTTATTATTTATCAAAGTTATGTAATTACAAATAACAACAATTACAAAGCGACATTTTTTATATAAAGTAACAACTATAAAAAAACAAATATTCTTCGATTTATCAAAGAGTATATATAATTTTTATTTATATACTTATGTCTTATTTCCAGTGCTAGATTGAGGAGGTGGGGTGGGGGTAGTAGGGCTATAGCCCCGGGATTCACAATGTTAGGGGAAATAGTCAAGAGGACCATTTAGTATTTTTTAAAGTCATTTTTACGCTGTGGCACATAGAAAAGCCGCCAAAATAATGCAGCCTCCGGCCCTGAAAAGAACAACAAGATTCAACCAGATGATTTATTTATAAATAAAAGTTTTTTCAATAACTGCTTCGCGTAGTTTAAAAAGTTTAACACATTTGAAACAATTCTTCTTAACAAGATGAACAAATGAAATAATTAAATGATTGAGTTACTGTAGAAATTCAATAAGCTACACCTTTTCAAGATGTAAATGAGAACATGAAAGTTGTAATTAAGAAGTCGTAATATGTAATTAAGAAACACAACATGTAATTGAGAAAACGTTATATGTAATTGAGAAACACAACATGTAAATAAGAAGTCGTAACATGTAATTAAGAAACACACCATGTAATTGAGAAAACGTCAGATATAATTGAGAAATCATAATATGTAATTGAGAAATCGTAACTTGTAATTGAGAACACATAAATTAAAATAGCAAATTCACAGTCTAAGTTTGTAGGTTGTTACAAAAGGTCTTTTTGGACATGAATTTAAGTTATAATCTTAAATTTTGCTTTTGTATGCACAAGTAATAATAATGGAATTGAAAGATCGTTGTGTTATATGCCAATACACTATGACCCGAAAGTCTGTGGTTAAGCTAAATCCGTGTCAACATTTATGTCACCAAATTTGTTTACGTCCAGTTCTGGAACAACCAGATTCAAGTTGTCCGATTTGTCGGCATGAAATACACACAACTGAACAAGTTGAAAGGAAACGTTACGTTTTATCTTCTCCAAATGACAGGAGAAGAGTTGTTGAATGTGCGGAGCGATTTGAAGATTGGGTGAATCTCGCGCAAACGCTAGGTATCAAATATAAGACAGCATACAATTGGGTTCGCAGCGGAAATTCAAATTTCATCGGAAAAGGAGGTTTTAAACCGAAAAAGTTGACCGAAGATCAAATCGAAGAAACATTAACATGGATTGAAAATGATTGTCAATTAACATTGGTGGCCATTAAAACAAAGATATTAAGACAATTTAACATAAACGTTAGCACAACAACAATAGCAAATTACCTCGAAGGCAGATTGTTCTCATTAAAAAAAGTGCACAAGGAGCCTTCTACAATGAACAGTTATGAAAACAAACAAAAAAGAGCTGAATATGTTAGAAACATCAACGAACATATCACAAATGGTCGTCAGATAGTTTGGTTGGATGAAACAAATTTTAACCTTATTTGTAGAAAAACGCAAGGACGCGCGAGACAAGGAAAAAGAGCAATTATGAAAGTACCTGCTTCAAAAGGTTTAAACATACACTTGATCGCAGCTATTTCAACTACAAATGTCGTCATGATAGAAACTCGCAGGGGATCATTTAAAGCAGATTCCTGTAACGAGTGGATGTTGGCTATGTTTCACCAGTGGGTTACATCCGGGAATCGTTTGGAGGATTTGGTCGTCGTAACAGATAATGCTCCTTGTCACGCTCGTTTGCAAAGGGTGTTTGATAATTCACCAGCTCAGTTGTTACGTTTGGGACCTTACAGTCCAATGTTAAACCCGGTGGAAACGATCTGGTCCAAAATTAAAAGTAACGTTAAAAATGCAATTCGCATTCCACCTGTATTAGGTGACGGGATTGCGGAACAGCGCATGCAGTACTTAGTTGTAATTGTAATTGAGGCGAAATTGTAATTGAGGCGAAAAACACTATAATGGGAGGAGATTGTGCACATGCGGTACAACACACAACCACGCACTATGCAACTATTTTAAATATGGAAGACGTACAAGTTGGTGCTTAAATGATTAATGAAGTGATTTTTAATTATATAATTTTTAATTATAATTTTTTATTGAATTATAAATTTTTCCCTAAAATGTTTTTAGTGTTTATTATGTTAAATTCATTTGCCCAAAAATTTTAAATTTTTCCCTAAATTTTTCCCTAAAAAATTAAATTTACGCTACAAATCTTGCGTCATTTTTAAGTGCGTCATTTTATACGCTCCATTTATTTACGCGCCATTTTTTTTAAGCGCCATTTTACACTTACTCCTTTAAAGCGATATCTAAGTTAAAATTTTCGTGTTCTCAATTACATCTTTTCTTATTTCTTAATTACAACTTACATTTTCTCAATTACATGTAATTGAGAAAATGTAAGTTGTAATTAAGAAATAAGAAAAGATGTAATTGAGAACACAAAAATTTTAACTTAGATATCGCTTTAAAGGAGTAAGTGTAAAATGGCGCTTAAAAAAAATGGTAAGAAATGGTTTCAGAAAAAATCGCAACATGTATACATGTTACGATTCTTAATTACAATTTTCGTTTTCTAAATTACATCTTATGTTTCTTAATTACAACTTACGTTTTCTCAATTACATCTTACGTTTCTTAATTACAACTTTTGTTTTCTCAATTACATCTTACGATTCTTAATTACAATTTTTGTTTTCTCAATTACATCTTGAAAAGGTGTAGATAGAAATTAACTAAAAACGTTAAATTACTTTGTGAGGAGAAAGCGAAACTGCTTCACAATAACGCTAATGATGTTTAGTGAGTGGGCTTTATAATTTTAATTAGTATTTAAAATAGAAAAAAGTAACTTTAAGTATAACGAGTTTGTAAGAATGGCTAAAGCAAAAATAATTGAAGTTAGTAAACTAATTTCTCAGAACTTAAAAACTTTTCTTTCTTGGGAGAAAGAATCAGTTATCGGGTACACTGAGGAAAATGGATTAGTGGTTAAAATTATTTGTATTAACTTTGACGATTATTAATAATTTCATTCAAAACGCAGTTATTATTGAAAGTATTTTTGTTTACAAAATCAATAGCACAAATTGCTTTAAAAGATTACATTTGAATAAAATACACATAGATAAAATTATATAGATAAAAATACATTACATACATAAAAATACATCCCTTATATATAAAAAATAAGAATATACTAATAAAATCTAAAATATATATACAAAACGTTGACAAGTTAAAAAATATAAATATAAAACAGTTATTATTGTAAAAAAATAATGTTAGTTTAGAACATTTTTAGCTTTGCAGATGTGGCTCCAAGAATTAAAAAAATAGTTCGTTTAATAGTATACTCTTAAAATAATTTATGCTAGAAGTTTCAACAAAAACAAAATTCAAATAATACTGTTTTTTAAAATATTCCAACAGAATACTCAGGACATTCAGATAGTTTTTTTTGAATACTCTAGAAATTTCGGTTAGTATTTTTTGAACCAATAGAATTAGTTGTTCGTAGATTTGGCGGGATTTTTGTGTTTGCGAATATTCTTTTTTTATTTTTCCGCACTTAGATGTTTGAGAACATTCAAGTTTATGTATGTGTCCATATAAAAGTCCGTAAAACAAAATATTTTAAAATTTACGACAAAATGAACTTATTATTTTGCGGACAAACAAGGAAACATACATAAACTTAAATGTTCTTAAAACGACTAAAAAATCTGGCCGGTTTTTCGCAACTACTTATTATTTCCGTGGTCAGTTATCGAGTGCGATCGCACCCGCTTCCCGACCAAGCCTGGTTAAGGGGTAGTTATCAATAGCTGTTATTTCTAAATTGTCATTTGATGTTTGTACTATAGGAGTTGTTCCGATAGGAGCCAGATGTTTTGTAGACACTGTAGTCTCATGACCATTAGGAAATCTCAGAATGACATAATGAGGATTTGCTACAATGAGCTGAGGCTCATTTACTGAATCTTCATATTTACTTTGCATTGTATTTCTTTTTATAAGTACAGGTCAAGGGTTAACAAGCCATGAAGGAATTGAAGACCCAGATGATGATCTTCTTTGAAAATTAAAAAAACGGTCATGTGGACTACAATTAGTAGAAGTACATAATAGAGATCTTGTAGCATGAAGTGCATCAGGTAAAACTCTTTTCCATGATGATACAGGCAGATTTCGAGATTTCAGAGTAAGTAATATCGCCTTCCAAATAATTCCATTGTATCTTTCAACTTGCCCATTTCCACTCGGATTGTAAGGGGTTGTTCTACTAGTTGCGATCCCTTTTGATAAGAACCAGTGCTTTAATTCAGAAGACATTAATGAGGACCGAATGACATAGCTAGGCATACCAAACATGGAAAAAAGATCAGCTAAACAGTTTATTATTGTCTGAGTTGTCATATCTTTCACAGGATAAGCAAATGGAAAACGTAAGTATTTGTCTACAATTGTTAGCATATACTGTTCAGGGGTTAAAGAAGATAATGGGCCTTTGAAGTCAATAGATATACGTTCGAATGGCTGAGTCGCCTTAATCAGGTGCACATCATTTGTGCGGTAGTACTTGGGTTTTATTTCTCTACATATTCCACAATCCCTACATATTTGTTTTACATCTTCTACTGAATAAGGGAGGTTTCTTGATCGAATAAAATAATGGAAGCGAGTAACACCAGGATGGCAAAGTGCAGCATGCAAGATTCTGAACTTATTGCTGCACATTTAACTCGAGTAAATGTATCTGGACTACTATTACATTGGCCAGGACGATAATGGATATCATAAGAATATGGAGACAAAGCTATTCTCCAACGCATTATTTTATCATTCTTTATTTTACTGCTTGATTTATAATCATACATACACGCCACAGATCGTTGGGCAGTGATGAGAATGAAATGTCGACCCAAAAGAAAATGACGCCAATGATTTATGGCTTCAACTATCGCTTGAGCTTCTTTCTCCACTGATGAATAGTATTGTTCACTTCCTTGAAGGGTAAGTGAATGGAAGGTAACAGGTCTTCCATCCTGATTAAGTGTGGCGAATATGGCAAAATCAGAAGCATCAGTCTCCACAGTAAAAGGTATATTCTCATCAATGGTTTGCATGGAAGATTGAGCAAGCTCATTTTTTAATGTTTCAAATGCTGATAATTGCTGCTGATTTAGTGGAAATTGAGTAACAGAGTTTAAAGGTCTAATTTTATCTGAAAACTTTCTTTTTTTGAAAAATAACTCGCTGTAAAAACTTTGCATTATCAGGTGGGGGTAACTTAATGAGAGGAGCAAGTCTCTGAGGATCTGGTTTTAAAGAGCCATACGATATACGGTAACCTAAAAAATCTAAAGTCTTAGTTGAAAATACACACTTCTCTTCATTAAATGTAATTCCAGCATCAATGGCAGCTAATCTGAACTTAAGTAGATTTTCATCATGTTCTTTCTGACTATTACCGCATATTGTAATGTTATCAATGAAAGGAAAGCAGTCAGTTAGTTTTTAGCAGTCTTTGTTATATTTTCTAACAAAGTCATCTATTTTGCGTTGAACGCATGCAGATCCATTGGTAACTCCAAAAGGCATTCTAGTATATTGCCACAACTTATTGTCAGCTTCAAAAGCAGTATATGGTCGATCTTTTTTTGATAAAGGGATTTGGTTGTATGCTGAGCAAATTCGAGAGTACTACAAATTGTGTATTATATTCACAATCGTTTCAATCTTAGGTAGAGGGTATGCATCTAATTGAGTATACTTATTAATAGTTTCAGAGTAATCAACAACCATGCGACGTTTAGTCTTTTCATTTACTACTAAGACCTGGGCACGCCAAGGTGAATTACTAGGCTCTATTATTGCTGCTTGAGTCAGGCGGTGGATTTCAAAGTTAACAAATTCTTTATCTCTTTGAGAATAATTTCTAGATTTAGTGGCAATCGGTCGACAATCTTGCGTGAGAATAGCAAATAATTCAGGAGGTTCAGTTTTCATTGTTGTTAAAGCAGCAAATGTTATGGGTGGTCTTTTCCCACCATACTTAATGGTAATACTTTCATGCAACTCTTGAAAATCTGTGCCAAGAATAACATCTACAGATAAGTTATCCAGCACATGCAACTTGACTTGGTTTTAGATTTTGTTTTGAAGAGTTATTGAGACATAACAATATCCATCTGATTTTGCAGATGAAGGCAGCTGATGCCATTCCAATTACACTCTGCTCATAAATAATATTTAAATTGAGTAGAGTCACTAGTTTGTTGCTTATAAAACTATTGTTTGTACTCCCACCATCAATTAATGCTTCTGCTTTATATCTATCATTAACAATGATGTTATGACAAACTCTGAATAGAGAGTTTGCTGAAGCTGATATGGTGGCACAGAAGTAATTATCATCAATTTTAGGAATAGCACCAGAAAAATTAGATGATCTGCAAAGTTTTTTAAAATGACCAATCTTTTTACATTTGTGGCAGGTAGCTTCGCGAGCAGGACATTTAGAACGTGGATGTCTTATGTTTCCACAAAACCAGCACAATTGTTTTGATTTTGCTGTAGCAGCTAAGTTATTATAAGTCATGGACTGTTTTTATAAAGGTGATTTGATTTCCTGAATAGAGGCAGAGGTAGGTATAGTCAATTGTGAGTATAAGTTTGAGTTTTGTTGGGCCACGTCTAAAGATCTAGCTTGGTCAAAGGCTGATGAAAGGTCTAATATTTTGTTTTCTTGTAAACGTTGGCGTATACTATTGGAGAGTAAGCCATTTATAAACGCATCGCGAATCATTTCAGATTTATATTGCTCAGCTGTAACAGCAGTGAACTTACAGTCCTTAGATAAATTTTTAAGTTCATCGAGAAATTGATCTATTGTTTCACTTGGTTTTTGCTTCCGTGTTGACAAAATGTGTCTGGCAAATATTCATTCTTTGGTTTTATGTAGATAGACTCGAGAATACTTCAAAATGCTTGTTCAAAATCGTCACACTCTGATATGAATTCATATACATTAGGTTCAATATGGTTTATTAGGAGATTAAGCTTAATGAAGTTATCATCAACTGTACTTAGAAAATTGTAAAATGTTCTTAACCAATGGTTGTATGTTTTTGCTGCATCTGCTGAGTTTGAATCTATACCAAGTCTGTCAGGTTTCATGAATCGATCCATCTTTCTTTTATTTCATAATAATATTCTAGCTCTTTTGATTGTAAAGAATAACCATATTAATTATGTTGGCTCAAAAGAGCTATAATTATACTAGTCTATAACAAAATAACACAATACATAAAGTATATAGAGTATCATACAAAACATATGTATTTATATATATTCTCCATATTTCATATTATCATAACAGTATCGTTGTATGAGAAAGAATAGCTGTATTTAGGTTACCATAACTAAACAGACTAGCCAAATTTTGCAACTTTTGCACCCTGCAATGTCTGGAATCTTTATTCTATCCTTGCAGTTTTAATTGTAATGACTGAATATTTTGATTAGATCGTGAAAACGCATGGCTCGCTGATTTTAGCGGTTTCTCTGATGTAAAACAAAAGGTTGCACGTCCATCTCTTATACGTCCATGGTTCAATAAAAAAGCTTGTTGTAAGCAAGGTATTTTAAAGTTAGGTTTTAATTAATAGAGATCGTAAAAATTGAAGGAACTTGTTGGAATTTACTTTTGTACATAAGACATAAAAATTTATATATGTTTAGTTTGTATAAATATTCATAATTTTAATAAGTAGTTTGCATGTACTCTTTTATTTTTAAAATTCATTATTCCTATAGTATGTACGGTTTATTATTTTAACAATTTTAACTTTGAAGTAGTACATAAAACAAAAAAAACTTGAAATCTAAGTGTAATTTTCTTTGCTTTGCATTTCTACCCGAGAGTATTCAAATTTATCTGATCTATCTCTTTTTCAAGCTGAGATTCTGCGTTCAGATGAGGATACATCATCCATCTCACACTCTCGTTGACTTTTTCAACTCTATTTTTCCAATGTTGTAGAATTTTTAATGTTTAATATTCACATACTTATCGTAATACCTTTGATGAAACAAGAGAGTTGTTGAGCACGTGTCAGGTAGAATGTTTATGATTTTAAAGTCATTTCGAATTTGATTGTAGTATAAAAAATATTATTATCAATCCCATGCTATTTAATTGTTTTTTCCGTATTATTGCATATAACTATATAAAGAAATAAATTAAGTTGGACATTCAGTTTGTAACTTACTAAGCGTTCTTTAGTAAAACTTTTCAGTAAAACTACGCAGTTTATTATTACTATAACCAACTTTTCCTTGATGAAGTATGCAAGTATATTTAATTTCTTTTTTAGGTATTAAATGAGGATGCTGCGTTTTTTCGCTATTCGTGTTTATTTACTTAGATAATAAAAAATTAATAAAATAAGGTTTTTTTATTCAACAGTTTTTGAAAAGTAAACATTTTTTAACGTAAACAAAGAACAAAAACAAATTTTCTTTTAAAAATTTTTGTTTATAACAACCTGCATACGTATTTTATGGATGGCCCATAAAAGTTAAATTCTTCAACTTATTTCACGCACAATTCGAATTATTAATGGCAACCATCAAGTAAGTTTTGTAATGTTTTTTTAATAATTAATTATTTTTAATAATTAATTATTTTTATAACTAATTATTTTAAAAATTAATTATTTTTAATAATTAATTATTTTTAATAATTAATTATTTTTAATAATTAATTATTTTTAATAATTAATTATTTTTAATAATTAATTATTTTTAATAATTAATTATTAAAAATAATTAATTATTTTTAATAATTAGTTAATTTTAATAATTAATTATTTTTAATAATTAATTAATTTTAATAATTAATTATTTTTAATAATTAATTATTTTTAATAATTAATTATTTTTAATAATTAATTATTTTTAATAGTTAATTATTTTTAATAATTAATTATTTTTAATAATTAATTATTTTTAACAATTAATTATTTTTAACAATTAATTATTTTTTATAATTAATTATTTTTTATAATTAATTAATTTTAATTAATTAAATAATTTATCTGGTATTTATTAAGGCCAAATGATCTAGGGATTTGACACGTGTTCCAAAAGGTTTCCAAAAGGTTTAATACGATAATTATTATCATATTAAATCTTTTGAAAACCTTTTGGAACACGTGTCAAATCCCTAGATTATTTGGCCCTAATAAATAGCAGATAAAACCCAATAAAGCAAATTTGCTTTATTTTTTTACCATTTCAGACTCATCCGGAAAAACAAAAATCAAGACTTTACAATAATTACTGAATAACAAACCGAGTCTCTAATTTTTAATTGTGGCAGTGCGGAAGAACAACTCCCTTTTTTTTTTTTTTTTTTTAAACAAATACTGAAGAACTACTTTGTCTCTACTCTTTTTTTATGGAAATAAATAAAAACTACAATCTATTAAAAAAAAAAGCTAAACCCATAAATAAATATAATTAAATAAAGAACTTTTCTTTACCGTTAAAATAAAAAAATACACTGCTAGTTGAAATATATTAATTTAAATAATAATATTTTATATAACATTTATAAAGATATTTTAAACTACTTATAATGTTTAGGAGCACGAAAGTATGGTTGTGGGGAACCATCTGGTGTAGGCTCGTATGTATTCTTGTAAGATGCTTTATCACTATCAGGGTCAAATCCATTTGGTATTTCGATGCACTTGATATTTTTTAAGTTAAAAAACAGCTTGCCAGTAGCGAATGCCAATGGTTTTTGTAGGAAACCCCTCACCTTAAATATTATTGTTATAAATAGGAAAATATTTTTTTATCTATTATATGCATATATATATATATATATATATATATATATATATATATATATATATATATATATATTTATATGTATATATAAATAAATAAATAAAGATATATATATATATATATATATATAATATAAACATATATTTATTTATATAAATATATATATATATATATATATATATATATTTATAAATATATATATATATATATATATATATATATATATATATATACATATATTTATAAATATATATATATATATATATGCATATAATAGATAAAATAATATATATATACATATATTTATATGCATATATATTTATATGTATATATATTTATATATATATATATATATATATATATATATATATATATATATATATATATATATATATATATATATTTATATATATATATATATATATATATATATATATATATATATATATATATACATATATATATATATATATATATATATATATATATATATATATATATATATATATATATATATATATATATATATATATATATATATGTATGCATATATTACATATGAAATCAATTAAAATACATAAGATAAAATGCTGTTTAAAAAAATTACGTCTTTTAAGCAGTAATAAAATTTGTCGTCGCATTTGCAGTCGGATATAGTATAATCTTTAGTGTTATGTAAACCCCATCTGAATTGTCCTGCTCCAATACTTAATTTACATTTATCATGTTCAAAACAGCAGTCATCGAGTTGATTAAAAAATCCGCGTTCTTCATCTGATTTTGAACTGTTTCCATGACCACAATACTTAGTTCCAAAAAGTATAACTCTTTTTTGCCCACCGTCTTCGGTTTTAATAATTTTAGTTGCAACTACAAATAAATAGCAAAATATACAAACGTATTAAATATATTTAAAATATATTTTAGCACTTTGTTTTAAATTATATTTGTTTTAAAATATATTATTAATAATTTATTATGTTTTGTTTGAAAATAAAAAAGGGTAGCCTTTTAAGATAAATTAAATATTTATCTTGGCAGTTGCAATCTTATTAACTGTTTTTAGAACATAATGTAGTATGCTACATAATTATGACTATTTTACAGAAAATAACATTTTACAGAATGTAAATACTTTACAGAATATATTTATTTTATAGAAAATAATTATTTTACGGAATACAATTATTTTTATGGAACGTTTTATACTTTATTTTAATAACTTATTTTTGAAATAAAAGTACCTAATTTCCTAGCAATGGATTCATCATTTTGAACTTTTTCAAATACTTCTTTTTCTGAAAATCCTTGTTGTTTTTGTTCTTCAAGAAATGAATTTACATGATCTTCATCATTTTCATCTTCAACACTTTTTGAAATCTCATCCCATGAGAAACAATCGGACAATTTTATTAAAAGAAACACAGCAAATATTCTAAATAATTTATTTTTTTAATTTTTTTTTTCATTTAAATTTTCAGCAAGTACACTTGCTTTTTTAAAAATAGTTCTAGAAAATATATTATAGCTATTTATTTTTCTAAATATTTTTAGAATATAAATAATTGTAAATAAATATAATAATAATCGTAATAATAATAATATTGACAAAAATAATAATATTTACAATAATAAAATAAATAATATTAATAATAACAATAATAACGAAAAAATCGAAAAACTAATAACGATGGTTTGGATTTGAAGATGACAGATGATGACACATGCTTACAGAACATGACATCAAAAGAGTAACAAGGGAAAAATCGCAAATAAATAGTACACTGGTTACAGCGTAAATAATACAACGAAAGGAGGTAAAGTTAGCAGAAAAATTGCACAAACTTAGACGCAGAAATTTCTTATATGTTTTATTTAATTTAATTTGTGAGTTCTACTTGCTTGATGCTCCAGAGAGTTATACATCTGTCTAGATGCATATATATATATATATATATATATATATATATATATATATATATATATATATATATATATATATAAATTATGTTAGTGTATTCTAAAAATAGAGTGCTCAATGTTCTTAAAAAGCAGAGCAATAATAATTTAGTAAAAACACTTATCTAACTTTTGTGCTCTTCAACAGCATGTTTCACCATCAGTAAGATCATCAGGAAGCTTCCTCATGAACCTACTGATGGTGAAACATGCTGTTGAAGAGCAAAAAAGTTAGATAAGTGTTTTTACTAAATTTTATATATTTATTTATTTATTTTTTGTCAAGCAACCATTTACAAGTAAAGGTAATTTACGATAAAATATTTAAAAATATAAAATACAAGTACATTTTATTATTTATAATAGTTACAAGACCGGAGAACCTGAATACGATAAAATCTTATCATCAGTAACCTAAGTAATTTGTGAAGTGAATTTGAAAATGATTAATACATGCTGCACGATTCTGTTGTTTAAGGAGACAGTCGAGTTTAGATTTATTTGTACTACCCCAAACAATATTGCCATAAAATAAATTACTACATATGAATGCAAAATATAGTTGAGTTTGTGTAGATTTGTCTAAGATTTTTCTGGTTTTATATAAGATGCTAATACTTCTTGAAATTTTATTGCTAATATGTTTAATATGATCTCTCCAGGATAAGTTTTTGTCTATTAAAATACCAAGTAATTTAATTGTGAATCAGCGCTTAATTTTGATGTTATTTGTATAAAGCATTGGTAAGGATTTTTAAATAGATTGAAACTTTTGTTTAGAACGGATCAAGGAAAACTTAGTTTTATCAGTGTTTAAAGAAGGCTGTTAGGGATAAGCCAGTTTGATATTTGTTCTAGTTCATTATTTGCTACTTGAAATAGATAGATAATACTACTGTGAGAATAGAGTAAAGTGGTGTCGTCTACAAACATAATAGTAGATATAGTATTTGATACTTTATATAGATCGTTGACATAGATTAAGAACAGTAACGGACCTAAGATGGAGCCTTGTGGAACCCCACATGATATTTTAAGTTTGTTTGTCTGAAAACCATCATTTAGAGAAACAAACTGCTTTCGATCAGTTAAGTAACTGGTAAATCATTTATGGTATTATGGTGACTTATTCCATAATATTTTAGTTTTTCTAATAAAATCTGATGGTTAACGGTGTCAAATGCTTTTGACATGTCTAGGAATATACCTTAGGTGAACTTGTTATGAGAAGATGCTCCACTGATAACTTTAACAAGTTACATAAGCGCATGTTCCGTAGAGTAATTATATATATACATATATATATATATATATATATATATATATATATATATATATATATATATATATATATATATATATATATATATATATATATATATATATATATATATATATATATATATACATATATATATATATAACCTTTTGTATTGAACATAAAAATAGTTTGTGAAATATATATATAACCTTTATATATATAACCTATATATATATAACCTTTTGTATTGAACATAAAAATAGTTTGTGAAATAATAACTATTTAAAAGAACCCTTTTGTCAAACAAAGTTTAATCAATTTTGTATAGATTATCAGGCACATTATATTTGGAATAAAACTGTACAACCTAATTTTGATTCATCTATCTCTTTTTCTGTTTTTAAAAACAAGTTTAGGAATATTATTTTTTCAACGGATAATATATGGAAATATTTTTTAGATATTATTTTAACAATTTTTTTATTTCAAATGTTTTGGATTCTTATTTTGTTATAAACTACCTGTATTATTTTATATTAAATCTATATTGTAATTCTTATATAGTTCTGGCGACAAGATCGATATGATCTTCTTCCAGATTCCAAGTTTATATGTTTATATTAGATGTAAATCACAACATGTAAATAATCTAAACTAAAAAAAACAAAAAAAAAAACTAATTTTTAAATAAATTCAAAAAATAGTTTTTTAAATGTTACGGTCTTTAAAATTAATGAAATAAATAATTTAGAAATTTTTAAAAACAAACTCCGTTTCAAGCTTCTGATAATACTTTTTCTTACCATACTTTTCAGGAAGTAAAAAACTCTTAGAAAAATGCAATTGTGTTTTTAGAAAACATTAGGTTATAAATATCATTATTTAGTTGCAACTCTTCTTGACAATGACAAAATTAAATGAATTGTCACGTATCAAATAGAAAAGTAATATTATTCGATTGAATGAATTGATTTCATATATTTAATTTTTATTCTCTAAAAGTAGTCCCTTTAATTATGGAAAGTCAGACGAGAAAACGTTGGCTAAAAAATGCAGCAAGATATTTAAAAAACATTTTTAACAGGGGTACAAAACTGCTTTTGTAAAAAGTTGAATTGAAATTTAAGATTAAAAATAAATATAATGTATTTCCTAATCTAAAACATTATTTTTTTTATTATAACGTATCTTTAAAAACCTAATTTAATATAAACATTAAATGTTTTTAAAAGGCTAAAAACAAAAAAAAAAAAAAAAAAATAGCCCAAACACTACTCCATTTTCAATTGTTTTTTATAACATCAGAGTAAAGCCGCAGAAACATATTTGTTCCAGTAGAATGTAAAATATTATTAGCGCGAAAACCCAAGTTTTTTTGTCTGACTTCCCAAAGTCCACAGGAAAAATGTTAGACGAAATATCATCAATGAAATTAGTAAAAATACAATCTTTATGCTTATAACGTCAAATATAAATCTAAATCTCATACTAAAGATAACTAAAATTTGTTTCGCACATGTTCCAATTGATCAATCAAAGTTAAATACTGCTCAAACATTTCAAGTAACATCTCATTTGGTTATACTATCTTTGTCCTGAGCCTGTTTCGTTACCCTTAAACGAACTTAAATATTATTTGTATTTGTATAATGCAATGACTAAATTTTGTTAGTAGGTTCTTAATACTCTAGTTTCTCATATCGCAAAACACCTATAAATAACGGAATGGAATTTCGAATTAGATAAGACCAACAAAACATCGACTATCTGAAAAATGTGAATAAGAGTTAAGGTGAGTTTCCACTCATCCGTTTTTTTACGGGAACGGGAAAGGGAAGGGAAAAATAATCACGTGGGCATGCGTATTATAAGTTTTAATTTGTCCGAAGTAAAACAACGCATGCTCACGTGATAATTTTTCCCTTTCCTATCCCGTTCCCGTAAAAAAAACGGATAAGTGGAAACTCACCTTAAGTCAAATGGAAAATTGCCGTTACTTTATGTTTCTATTTATTTAAATATCTTTATTTTCATTAAAGTTTTTAAAATTTGAATAACAAATAAATAAAATAAAAAACTTATTAAACAATAATTATTTATATATTTGGTAAAACAATTATATAAATAATTATTTATTTGTCTTTTTTTCGCGTCTAAAGAAGTCCTGACGGTCATATCACTCACCACCGCGTATGAGATCCTTTGTTTCTGAGGCAAGTACGCTACCATTGAGCTACGGCTGGACAAGGGCGGATCCAGACCATCTAGTAAGGAAGGGGGGGGGCAGCTTTTAGTTTTTTTAATTCAATAAATTCAGTAGAAGTGGGGGGGGGGGGAGATTTTAGGGTTAACAGTTTTTATTTTTTTTTTAATATTAGTCTTACTAAATATATATATATATATATATATATATATATATATATATATATATATATATATATATATATATATATATATATATATATATATATATATATATATATATATATATATATATATATATATATATATATACTTTTTTAGTTTACAATTTTAATCGTGACACAATAAAATAAAACGTTAAAAGTTTTTTTCCAAATACATATACAAAGATGATAACAATGCAAATTAGGTTTCCGAAAGAAGATCACTTAGATCTTATCATCAGAACCTTAAAAACAATAATAAACAATAATTAAATTTACGAATACCTTGTAAAGTATACGTTACAATAAAGTAGAATATATATATATATATATATATATATATATTATATATATATATATATATATATATATATATATATATATATATATATATATATATATATATATATATATATATATATATATATATATATATATATATATATATATATATATATATATATATATATATAAAGAGTTTTTTTTACATAAACAAAACTTTAAAAATTATAAGCAACATATATTAATGTAAAAACAATATAAATAGTAATTATTTGATAATTATTTAAAACAGCGTTAGACTAATATTAAAAAAAAAAACTATTATGAAGAACTTTGTTGTGTTAGGACTTATGATGAAGAAACTGAATCTAATATAAGACTGTTATAGTCAGTAAAACTTCAAAATATCATAAGTAATATTAAAAAAGCAAGAAAAAACAAAGATCATATGTAACAGGCAGAAGACAAGAATAAAAAAAAAAAACCGGCTTTCATTTTTAGATTTCATTGAAGTACAACTGAAAAGACAACCAAAAAAATATTTTATAACCATTAATTTACTTACAGAGTCTTTGACATTGTTTCAATTTTTCTTATTTCGCTTCTAAATTGTAGTTTTTGGTGTTATAACTTAAATAGTTCCAAAACCTTACGTAACTTTTCTCGCTTCAATAAACTCGATCTTCATCGATCCTAACGTTTGTTTCGTTTCATATAATGAATCAATCGAGCATTTAGTTTCGTCTGATTATATTATTAATTAAAAAGAAAGGTTAGCAAAACAAACAAAAATTTAATTTCTAAAGAAACTTTTTTAAATAAAATTAAGAACTTGGAACTAACCGATGATGTTTTTATATCAAAAAAGAAATACTAGTAACATAATTCTTCAAATAAAAAAAATAAAAAACGATTAATTATAAAAAAAAAAGGAAAGATATAAATAAATAATTGTTTTCGAAAATAAATTAATCAATATTCAATATATTGTAGATATATTTAAAAATATATATATATATATAAAATTTAAGTAATGTGTGTTATTACACTTCAACAAAGAAAAATGTAAAGATATGCATATAATATGCAAATAGAAACTAGCATTATTATAGTTAGTCAATTATACTAAAATTATTATATGAGTAAATTAACAGGCGATGAAAATCCATATACTTTGTTGAAAACATATTTGGAATAAGATTTAATTTTTCTAATATGTAACGATTTAGATAAGAGGTTTTTTATTGCAAAAAAGCAAACAGAATATTAGGTCAAATAAAGCATTGCTTCAAATACTAAGGGAAAAACTTAATGAGACTGCGGTATTGTTGGTTATTTTTACCTATTTGGAATTTGCTTCACCAATTTGGAATTATAATTATAATAAAGTCATCAAAAAAATAAATAAGTACAACAAAGAGCAACATTATTAAGTATTTAAATGTGATGTGTTAAATGTGTTTTTAAATATTTTAATTAAATTTTTTATATATTTTTGTCACAGTAAATAAACACTTAAAGATGTTAATTGACGCTGCTATAGTTTTTTTTTCTTAATATATATATTTTTTTTTGTGTGTGTGTGTGGGGGGGGGGGGGGGTAGTGGAAACATTTTCAGTTAAAACATTGAGCTTTGTTTTGACTAGTGAGCAGACTATTAATAAAAACAAGTTACAAAGGTTCGGAAAACTAATTTAATGTTCAAATAAATTGGACTTACTTCATTATAAAAACGAAGAAATAGGGGGTCTAAAATATCATAAAATAAAAAAAATATAATCATAATGTTAATTAGAGATAAACAAACAATTTATATCCAAAAATAAGTGGTCATAATCAACGGTTGTACAAATAAAATATTCGTATTTCAGTTGCAAGAGTTCATTTCTTGACACAGGATTGTAAATATATGAAACAGTCTAACCAATGAAGTTATTAATGATGTTAATGTCAAGACTTTCAAAAATAAATAAATTAATATGAATTAAATGATTAATATGAAAAAAACAACTAAAAACATGAAAAAACTTTAATTTAACTTTATTATAGATTTTATTTTTTTATATTTATTAGTTTTATTTGTATTTTTATTTTTGCTGTTAAAGTTACGCAACTACTCTGTCTTGCCAATTAAGAAAACTCTAAGTACAAAAAAAAATGATTTTGAGTAATTTACTTAAAACTATTTAATATTCGTGTTATTTGTTTTAACCCACTAATAAACTGTTTATTCGTGTTAACCCACTAGTAAAAACAAATAAATTTATAATGTGTTAACTCACATAAACACCTATTACTGACTTTAAATAATTGAGTTAAGTAATTTGAATGATTGATACAATTGAATTTAAACTTAAAATGTTTCATTAGTTCATGTTTCAAAGTTAACATTATATAAACAGAAATAGGATAGTTATCTCTCTCGCGCAGAACCATACTGATTATAAAGCGCTATATAACGCTTTATAATCATTGAAAATCAACGCCAAAGAGAGCCAATTTTATACATCTTAGTTTTAGCATGACATAATTTATGAACAGCATTTAAACACATAGTTGCTTAACGCTATCCATAAATAATCATTGTTGCATAACGCCATCCATGTAAAATCATTGTTGCATAACGCCATCCATGTATAATCATTGTTGCATAACATCATGCATATATAATAATTGTTGCATAACACCATGCATATAGAATAATTGTTGCATAACACCAATTATATATAATTGCTACTATAAAAATAAAAAGTTACATCTCCTAAAAAGTGCTTTGACTAAAAGTAATTATTATAACAAACATTATGTGACTATTTAAACCCTAAATTCATACTTGCTACTTCAAAACCACACATACATTGTCAATTTTCAAAAACAAATTTCTGATATATATGTTTTCCAATTTAAAATTTATATTTCTTTTCAGGTAAACCATACATAAATATGTTTTGTTGTGAATTATTTATCAGTATATATAAGTATAATATAAAGTATCAAATATATATGTTGTATAAGATAAGTAACTAAGATAACTATAAGATAAGTAAATAAGATAACTATGAATAAAAAATATTATAACATAACTTGGAACCTGATTAATATAAATATGTTAATAAACTAAATTTTTAATAAGAAGTTAACAAAATAATTTTAAGTATAACAATTATCTTGATTTGATCTACAGTTATTTTT